AGTGAGTCTCCTTCGAAATCTTCAAGGACAAGTAAAGAAGAAATATACTACTATTACTAATACTTGTCTTGTTAATTTCCCTTTAGTTGATCGTACAGATGTAATAGACTTCAGCGTTGCAGAGCAGTTTTCCTCTTTATGCTTTGCCTGGCTAGAATGAAGGTATGTTCCAATTCATTGAACATTTTTCCCGTGTTCAGGCTTTAAGTCTTTTAAGATTTTTTCCAAGGTATTCCTTTCTTGTTCTTTGTATTTTTCTAGTCGTGTCCTCGATCTAGTTAACTATCCAGAGTAAGCTAACTTTGGAACAATAAGAATGAAGGTAAAGAACAGCTAAGTTTATGGGCTCGGGACTAAGCATAACAGCCTCCTCTTGATGATGTTGATTCAGAAAAACATCATCTACGCTCGGGACTAAGCATAACAGCCTCCTCTTGATGATGTTGATTCAGAAAAACATCATCTACCAAACTTAGCACTTGTAAGGGTACCTATCGTGATATTTAGAGTACCACCTTACTCTAATACCAGATGTTAATACCCATAAAAAAACCCTTTGCCTTTTTACTATTTGCGCTAGACTAGAGATGACGATATTTTGCTTATCAGGAATGTCCTCCCATTTACCTATTATTCTTATTCGCTTTCTAGGTTTTTCGAGTTTCGTTGCAACGTTATGCTTGAATGGTGTGTACTTTTTAGCTCTTGTTGTGTGTTTGTCCCAATGAATGTTTATGTGAAAGTTTGTTGGAGACGAGGTCGCTTGCTTATGAGTCGAAAAAACTTTTTGAATCCTTTTGTCAGACCATAAGCGTTGAAACTGAGAGTTCTCAATCGGACTAATTTAGTTGGCTTGACTAAAGCATTTCCGTGTATCTGAACTTTATTGGAATAAATTTCTTTTGGGGTTTACCTAGTATGGATGCCTCTTTCGAACCTACTAACACTTGGTGTTGCAGAGCTTACTTAACTTAGTAAGTTGGTCAGAAGTAGTCGTACTCAGGGTCAAATTTTAGAGCCGCCTTTGGATGAGTTACGGATCGCCCTTTCAATTATTCCCTCAGATGGCGTAAAGCCCAGGTTTGAATATTATAACCCACAACCTTGTTGGTTGCATAAACTTTTCGAAGGCCAGATGGTGCATTACATTTCCGGGTCTAGGAGCCATATGCTCGTGTCTGTAGCCCGCCAATTGTTATAGCGCTTATTATGGTTCAAGTCTCCCAAGCTACTAACCATTCCAGACGGATTGGGCTAAAGGAGGTCATCTGATAATGTAACTTTGAATGTTTTTAGACTTGCATTGATGCGAAGTTTTCAAAGTTGGGGCCCTGTTTTGAACGAGTAGGGTACTCCCTGCATCATTGAAGAAAAAAACAAAGGAACACATATTTGAGACAAACAGATGCTTCTTTATTCATGAACCAAGTAAATTTGGTTTACAAGGGGGTGTGATTGAATCTAAGAATGATTGCCTGCATATCTCCTGGATGGAGAATCAAATCACTAATGTAGTTCTAAAGAAATGATGATATGACATAAAAATTACATCAGGGATCACTTTTGACGATAAGCCTAGGGTGGGGCATTGGGAGATGAGTTCTCTGTAGACTTGTCCTCACAGAGACGGCGAAGCTGCACTTAGGTCCAGAGAGGACAACCTACATAGCCCGGAAAGGGAATCAAACCGCGTGTAGTCTGTGTTACCTTTTATTGTTATTCGATCTTAATGTGACGACAGAGTATCCATTTCAAGGTGATTGGCACCATATTTCTCGTAACCCCTTTACTGCTTGCATCCATCCTTCACGGATGAAGTTTACGTTGAAGGTCGATTTCTTTGCAGATTGTCGATCTTCATCATCAATGTGCTTATTCGACAGATCTTTTTCCCTGGGTTTAGCCAAATTTTCTATTCTTCCCTTATCCCTGACGAATTCCCAATAATGCCCCTGATCTAGTAATTCCTCGATGTTATCCCTCAACGCTTAACAACCTTTGGTGGCGTGGCCGGTACTATTGTGGAAAGAACTATATTCATTTGGGTTCTTCTTAGCTAGATGTTTTGGGCATTGGAGGAAGGGTTTGTCCTTTATATTATGGAAGATGTTATTAAGGGCAGTGTTCAAGGCGGTGTACTGCTTAGGATTTGATATGACTTGTTTGTCTCGACACTCTCCTCTCATAACCTGTCGTAGAGAAGGTAGGAGAGTGTCTCTATCTACCCTTCTTATGTCAATTTGCCTAGAGTAATCTAGTTCAACAGCTATCCTTCGACTCTTATCATCCCAGTTGGTCAGAGTGTATGCGATATCAAAACATTTAGCTAGAGTATCATAGTCGTACTTTTTTTTGTTCAGCTTCTGAGAGAGAAGCAAATGAACATAGAGGCCTCGTTTGATTGCCATAGTCGCGAGTTTGTCATTTGGTTTTTCCACCTCAGCCAATTATGCATGGAAGCGCTTCAAATAGGCTCGAAGACTTCCATCTCTAGTTTGAGGGAGTAACCTGAACATAGTTTTGCGGCGTTTTCGGACATCACGGTATACGGTATAGGTATTCATAAATAAGACAGCCATAGTTTCAAAGTAGTCAATGGACTTGGCAGGTAATTTTGAGTACCACCTCATAGCGGGTCCCTCCAAGGTGGACGGGAACATCTTGCACATCCAAGCATCGTTGTTGTTGAATAACACCATAACGTTTCTATAATGCGTGATATGGTAATCGCGGTCAAAGTCACTATGGAATGACTTGAACCTTGGTTGAGAGAATTTTTTTGGCAAAGGAACTCCTTCGATTGTTGCTGAAATGGGTGTTCTAATTAAGACCATCGGCTTGCTCGAAGTACGGGGTGAGATGTGACCTACATGGTTATCTTTGTTCAGAGAATATCACTACTTTTGGTTCTTGGGAACCTCAGGTTCGTTGAACCCTAAACAGTGGGGTTCCGTTCTCGGTACCCCCAGAGGTGTTTTAAGGGGGATTTGTGGATTATAGGTTCCTTCCCCCGTATCCGCACCTGGGGTTCGTAGGTCGTCGGTGGGATTTCTCACGGGGCCTGCGGCATTTAGGTAGAAGGCATTGTCCCGCTCGAGTTCTCTAGGTTTTTCATCCCTCTCTCCATGTCCACGAAGTTGGAATGGCTTTTAACATGGGCAGAAGTCTGGTTCTTTTGTAGTTTTTCAACAGAAGTGTTTATCTTCGTCAAAATCCCAAATTTGATCTATAGAAGAATGAGACCTTCTAGCTGGTTCTCATCTTTCCCTAGGGGTGACTGTTGTGCTTTGGAGGTGCTTGTTGACTTCGGGCGTTGATGTAGTAGCTGGGACCCTTTTTAGCATATTTTGATGTCCTAATTCCAAATTCGCACTCTGTTTTCCCAAATTTGATCGTTTAAGTTGAGTTTTACTAATAGGTTCGAATATTAAGTTTGGGTACGATTACTATCAAAGACTCCGGCTTAATAACGAATTTTCTATGTGATGTTGTAATTAAATTAACGATTATAAGAAATGTCGTAACGATGAGAATTAGGAAATTGTTATAAATCCTACGGGATACCTTAATTACATTTACGACTATGAATAGTATTATGTTGACTAGAATCATCAAATCACTATGGCATGACTATATTTACATTATATGTTCATCGTGTGCTACACTAGTTTCAGTACTCACCTGGGCCAGGGCCAGGCTTCATGTGTATGTTCACATCACACCGTACGCTCACTTTGGATCCATTGTAGGTGCCAGTCCTGTGCTAGATTGTTGTAGGCAATTAGGACTCGTATGTGACGCGGATAGCGTCAGTCTTCACGTGATTGTAGTACTAGAATGTAAATCATTATTACACTCAGTCCTATTCATGTAAGAATATCTCTGCATGAACTCGTGTGTCAGCATATTTTGATGAGCACTCGATATGAAAGGTTTATTTTTGCAAGATATTGTGATTACCGTAAGTTAAATGCTTATTTACGAATTGTTATGAAGTATTGCAGTTTTTGAACGTAAGTAATTTTCATACTATACGTAGTATGTTATGTTTGGAAACTATACTTGTTTTATAGCGATGGGTCATTACATTTTCAAAAAGGTTTTTAAAAAGTTTTATTTTTAGGCCCACTCACCCTTATTTTTCGCCTCTCCAAGTTCTTGTAGCTGAGCTTTCGTATCAACGAGGATTCTTGAAAAATCTTGGTACTGGAGATTACCTTCGATGGAATAATTCTCAATCCACTCTACTATACTTTACTTATGCTCTAACATCATGTGTGGAATAGGAGCTCCCACTGACTAGGCACTCTTACATTTAGGCACTTTTAGGTTTAAATTTACTCACATTTCCACATCACTACACTTTATGGCTTCGTCACCCTCCTGGTATCGGCCAGCATAACTCGATTCGGAGTTCAGGTGAACATTCTGGGTCAGGGTGTGTCACAAACAATATTATCTACACTAAGGGAGACGGGTGGGCTTACCCTCACAATGAGCTAGCAATGATGTGGTTCAAATTCACTTTTAGCGAGAATCAAACTTAAGACCTCTCACTTACAAGTGAAGATGAATATCACTAGACCGTAGTACTAAGTAGAAAAAAAGTCACTAATTTAAACTTTTGAGATTGTAGAAAATTAGTCATTAGCTAGCTTAGGTGGATATATATTAAATAAATAGAAAAATGCTAAGCTGACAATTGATTAAAGCATCTTAATCAAATTTTGTAAAGGAACAAACGTTCAGTCTAAATAAGTTGGAAAAAATGTAAGGGATTCTAAGTACTCAAAAAAAAAAAAAAAATATATATATATATATATATATATTATGATGGGTTTTAAATTAAAAAAAAATTAATAAATTTCAAGTGTTAAAGTCGTATTTTCAATTTTTGTTTTGGTATAAAATTTCTGTAAGGTTCCCAAATAATAAATTTGGTGGTTCAATTAATGGATTGACATTATTTGTAATTTTGTTCTTGTGAATATATAATACAGACTAGAGTAAGCGGGTCACATTTGGAGTAGAAAAAAGTTGATGATGACAGACTCAACTGATGAGAGCAATGCAAAAGCTGATCACTCCATAATTCAAGTAGAAGAGGGGAGAGAGAGAATTGAGAGAGAAATAAGTCATGTGGGTAACCAAAGTTGGAGCGGAAACGAAGAAAATGAAGACGAATTAATAGCGTCCTGGATAGAAAGAAAGCTTCCCAAGGAATCAACAGAAGAACCAGTTCATACTTGCATATTTAGAGTCCCTACTAAACATGTCAGCGACAATGAAAATGCTTTTGTCCCACAAGTGGTTTCAATCGGGCCGTATCACCGCAGAAGAGAAAAGCTTCAAGGCATGGAACAAACTAAGCTAAGGTATTTGCTACGCCTCCTCAATCGCAAACCAACTCCCGACACCAGTTTGGGAAAGTTTGTCAAAGAAATGAGAAGCAGAGAAGAGTTTCTTCGTAAGTGCTATGAAGAAAAGTTGTATCATCTGAGTAGCCGTGAGTTTGTAGAAATGATGGTGGTCGATGGTTGCTTTATTTTAGAACTTCTCCGCGAATCTGTTTCGCCTTTCCCAGGGCGGTTCTCCACATTTAAAAACGACTTGTTGCTGCTTGAAAACCAGCTTCCATGGCAAGTTCTCGACTGTTTATTCAACCTCACAAAAACGTCAGAAGAGATTTCTCTATATCAACTTACTTTGGAACTTTCCGAAAACATGCATTATTCCTTTGAGACTGGGACATTGGAAATCAGACATTTACTTGACGCAGTAAGAAATTCACTTTTTGGATCATCATGGTGGAAAAAAAGGGAGTATAACACAGATTGGAGTCATTGGACTCCTATTCCCTCAGCGACACATCTTGAGGAAACTGGAGTCAAATTTCAACCAGCGTATATGAAATCTCAGTTGGAAATAAGCTTCAACATAGTAAATGGAGTGATGAAAATTCCATATATGATAATTGAAGACAACACAGAATCTCTGTTCAGAAACCTCATAGTCTACGAACAGTGTCAGTTGGTGGGCGACTATGACACATGTCCCATTTTGTCCTACGCCATGCTGTTGAGTCAGCTTATCAAGTCTACCAAAGATTTACTCTCTCTCACTCAGAAAGAAATTATAGACACCAATTTGAGCGTGGAGGACACCGTTCGTTTCTTCGATAGGCTTCGCTATGACACTGAACACATGAAGTTCTTTTACTCTGCCCTCGCCCTTGAGGTGAATCAGTATTATCATAGTCGCTCACTAAGGCGTTGGCTTGCAGGGATCAAAAGGGATTATCTATATAATCCAAAATCAATCTTGTCACTTTTGTCAAATGCAGTCATCCTTGCTCTCATTCTTACAGCCATACAGACCGTATACAGTGTTCTCGCCTACTACAAGCAGAAGTAGTAACCTTCCAATTGGTCAACGTTCACCCAAGGACCTAAAAATAAACAAGACTTGGTGACTGCAGGCAAAGGTATGAAATAATGAAACTCTGAGTTTGTATTTATTTGCTTATTTTTCTTGTAAAATAAAGCATCTCTGTAATTAAAAGTTTGATAATTATTGTAAGGACAAAATTGGTTCTTACTCCATAAATTGTGTGTAAACAAAAGAGCATATGTAATGTCAAAAGGCTAAAAAGTAAATGTGACAACATTGAATCCAATAGAGGTGGTTTTGCAGTTAGGAATCTGCAGTCTCTGCATTCCATGCTGCAGACTCTGGATCATCGACAAATGATTGTGTTTAATTCTTCGTAGGAAGTTTCTAAGCAGCAGACTCAAATATAATGTAAAGAATAAAAAAAATATGAAGGGTCATTACTCGGTAGGATCTGGCATGGTTTCCGAATGTTGCTCACCCTCTGGTTCAGCAGGAGCCTCTGGTTTTGATAAGTCGGTAGTACAATTTGCTGCAACGTCTTTGGCAGGTGAAACAGGTGTGCTTGCATCTGCAGCTCCAGCTGCGGCTGTTGAACTAGTTTTTCCATTCTTCGCATCCTTTCCTTCCTTTGCTTCCTTTGCGTCCTTTACTCCTTCCTTGGCATCCTTTGCGTCATTTCCTCCCTTTGCATCTTTTACATCCTTTGTATCCTTCCCATCTTTTCCTCCCTTTGCATCCTTGACATCTTTGGCAGGTGGGGGCGGCATCATGTGTGGTGGAGGGTTCTGTATCAGCTTCAGGAAAATCTGCCGCATCCTTGAAAGATCAGTCGGTTTACCAGGTTTTGGGCCCTGGATGACAACGATTGAGGGCTTCTTGTCAGGATCTTTCTTCCCTCTCTTCTTTTCAATATTAGGAACCTCACGAGGTATCAGCTCTGCTATTGCTTTCCAGTAATGTTTTGTCAGCTTTTTTGTGGAACTTCTCTTGGTTGGCCAGGTACAGCTGCACAGCTGAGCTTCCGTAGGTGCATGTACAAGCGAGCAAGGGAGAGGGAGGGAGGGTGAGGGAATTGGGATTACGGAAGAGGTAGAACATAATGGGTTTTAGAATTACTACCTTCTCCCTTTCTCTGTTGTGGGCTTTGTTAGTTTCACAACTGAGCTTCCGTTTCTCATAGAAGGCCCGCTTAAATTCCTCAGCTTCCTCGATAATCTGGTTCCGCATCTCCCCTTCTCTGTTTTCCTTTTCCTCTAGATGGATGACATTTAGACTGCATGCATTGACGCAAAAAGGTCAAATCAAAATATTTCAATGCGTTAATCTGTGTAGATGAAAACAATTGAGAAGAAAATAAGGCATAATTTTTATACACTCATTCATGCAGAGACGTAGGATTCACTATGTTCTGAGGCTCTCAGCCAACCACAAGGAACTCCATTGTTTGTCAACTAAAAATGTACGAATATCTACCCGCGGGACAATCGCAATAGAAAAAATTACTATAAAATGTTGCATACCGTACTACAACGGAATAGAATCTGGGAAAGGCTAGTGCTTCGAACGCCATATTCCAGAGAGAAACACTATAAGTTTATAACCAGCTAACACGGAATCCATCGGCAATTCAACGACATCTAGTTTATATCCAGTGAACCAGAAGTGAATCTTAGGCTCCTTTTAAAGACTAGAGGAGTCATTGCATCCATTTTGTATGATGGTCTGTGACTTGTCATTAATTCCCATAGCAACGATCGGAATCAGCTAACGTAAAAAATCAAATTGGGAAAGACGAAACAACTTATGCAATGATTCAGTCAAGATCAAAGCTCACTAGAGGCGAAAATGTCCCCGTCATCACCATCGCCGCCACCGCCTACGCCATTGTCCTCGTGCACCGCCGAATCAATAGGTGACTCGAATTCCGGGTTAGGGATGGAAGCGCCGAAGCCGTATACCTCGGGGGACTGCTGCTGCTGATTAACGTTGGCGCTGTTGTCACCACCGGGGAGAATGACGTCGTCCTGGAAATCAGAGTGGAGGGGAGGGGCAGGGTCGACGGCGGGGGAGGAGAGTCGTCATCGTGGTGGGTAGAGGTGTTGAAGGAAGAGTCTTATTTTTGGGAAGGGAGGCCGGCGTCGTAGCCCATGTAGGCATCGTCGTCGAAGGGCTGGGCGGTGGGGGTCGTGCGATTCGTCGGCGTTGGGGAAGGAGTCGAAGGACGACATGGTTAGTAGGGGAAACTGGATTAAAAATGAGGATTAAAGAGAGTTAATTGGAGTTATGGCCTTAATCTTGTTTTGATTAAGTGAGATCGGCGTGTTCGGATCGAGAGACAGTGCGTGGCCGTGGATGATCATCTCTCTCTGAATTATTGCTACGTGCGATGGAAGTAACCATAATTGTTGGGGCAAGAGGGAGCACCAGACACTGGTGTGTATTAATATTGCATGATAATTTAAGGGGAATCGTCTGTTTTAAAGTGAGTCTATAAAAGATTGTTTTTGCAAAAAGATAGTTAAACCTGAAAGTTCTCCAATGTATGCACATATCACCATTTGTGATAATGTATTTTCACCGAATAAAATCAACTACCGAAATCATTTAATTTATTAATCATTAATTGAAGATCATTCTAAAAAATATAGGATAATACTAGGTAGACCAAACCTTTAAACCAAATTTTATGAACTAAATCATGTGGTTGTTAATGATTGAATTATTACTTAAGTGTTGATTAACGTGCTTATTTTCTTTTTGTGACATTTCATTTGGTTTGTAAATTTGGTTTAAATATTAAAATTCGAGATCGTTTGGTCATGTAAATGTATCAAATAAATGGACGATTCATCATGAACATGTTCTTTGGTACCTACACTGTCGATTTGTTCTATACATTTAATGACTAAATGATCTCCGATTAAAATGATTTTTTGTGTGGATGATCTTTAAATGAAGATTAAGAAATTGAACGCTACAAATTATGAAATTTATACGGTCAAGATACGTTAAACGCAAAGAGGAATGAGCTCATCCCCAAACGTAGGAATGCAAGTATACAAGCAAAGAGAATCCAGAGAGAATCCTCATCCGTTTATGAGCCCTATAAATACAAGCAAGTAGAAGAGAAAGTGAAGGTCAATCACGAGAGTTTTTTCAGTGTGACCGGAATACAGAGTGGTACACCACGTGTTACTATACAAATGATAGGATATGTGTGTTAAAAAGTTAATAATTTAAAAAATAAAATTTCTTACCACTTGTATAAAAACATGTAGTGTATCATCTGTGTTCGGGCAACAATGAAAAATTTCTCCTCAAAGACAAACAATTACATTGTGACAATTCAAATTTTGTACAAGGCTAAACTGATGAAATCAAACCTGCAAAATAACAAACACTGATAGCCTAATTGACGAACACCAAGGAAAAGGGAGGGTCTTCACCAAGAGACCTATGATGCTTAAGTAGACAGAAAGATAGTATGAGAGAAACTACAAACTTGAGAGAGTTAAGGCTATTAAGTTGCGATAATCGTTTTTTTTTGTTTGACTTGGCTATTTATAGACATAACCATAATAGCCAACTAGGCAAAGAGGTTGCAAGCCATACTATGGAGTAGACCAATCTCCCCAGCTAGTAGTTTTGAAGGTCCCTGTTAGTAAGAACACATGCGCGCTGGACACCCAAAGGGAGACTTCGAAGAGCTCGATTCCTGTCACTATTGGGTCGAGTTTGGACTAGTGGCAAGATATCATGAGCCCGAAGCACCTTTGATACGTTGATGGCCCAAAGGCCTAATGCTCAGGAAGGTGCCACGGTCCCTCGTGGAGGGCAGACAAATGCCACGTTCTTTGGAGTGATTTGTGGTCTGTTCACAACGTCAAGTGTAAAAACATCATAGCGAGTATATAGTTCACGTGTCATTCTCCTATTGGATGTAGTTAAATTATGTCTCCACAATCACCTACTGATGAAGTAACATTGAACGGTAAATGGTCATAATATTCTTAGACTATGGGGTCTAGAAGAATGTGACTCCTCTCTTTATCTTTTAAATATATATACTTTTGATTTTTGTTACTCCTCCCCAATACAAAGCTACCAACTCAAGAAAAATATTTGTAAGAAACAAAAAAACTTAAACTAAGAGCAGGGATAGAGCCAAATACATTTTTAAGTGGAAGCAACTTTTTAACAATTGATAAGAGAGAAAATTCAACAAATATGATGGTATACACACAAATTTAAGATATTCATTTACAATATTTTCTCCTTGAGTCAATTTTCATGGATTAAAGCATGCATAAACAAATTTTAGTTCATACGACCTGTCCAGACTCTGTTTCGTGCTGTATTGGTGTTGACTGTTGAATGAAATACATATCCTCCATTGCTCTCAAAAAAGGGTTTATATATGCATAAGATTGAAGTTCAACCTCGACCTAATAACTGAATCGAAAATGCTCCACAAAACGTTTCATACTATATATTCGTTTTGTAAAAAGCACTCACAAAAATGCACTAGTACAAAAACATGCTTGCGCGATGGCAACTTGTGCGACGGAGCAAATTTTGTTGTGCAAAGTATGTTTGCATGACGCTAAACAGGAGGCATCGCACAAGAGTTTGGCGCCAAACTAAGAATGTTTACCGCTTTTTTCGCAACATTGCGCGACGTAGGTGCACCTCCGTCGTGCAAAGATGTTTTGTGCAACGAAGACTGAAGTTGCGCAAAACAGCTTTGCACGACGCTAGTCTTGCTCACGAAAAGTCAACGACTTTTTTTCCATCACTTAATCAGTTTGGGAGAAAGAAACTACAAATCAGTTGCAGTAGCTACCTCATTCCCCCATCTCTCTTCAAAAACTTCTACAATCCTCTCCCTTTCTCAATCTATTCCTATTTGGTAAGCGATTTGATTTTGTATATGTAACTTTGAATTGAGAATTCAAACTAAAACTACTAAATTTGTTTTGTATAGGATTTTTGTATACAAATATCATTGAAGAACGAATTGGAAGGTATTTTCTTCATATTGCATATGAGATTTTTGTATATGTATCTTTGCCTACTTGCTATGCCTTTTTTTGGTAATGATGGAGTTTTGTGAGATTGAATTTTTGAAGTAATCTTTATTAATTTCACCTATTAAAAGGAGTGGGACTATAGATATATTGTTGAAGACTTGTTTGGGCTTCATTTGGAATTAGCATTTGAATACTTTATCGGGGTTAACTCATATATTTACACGGAAGAAATTGTAAGAAATGTTGTTTTCCACTTGAAATTTCCTTGATTTGTGCTATACGGTTCAACTAAGGGTAATTCCAATGCACCGCATGTATTTAAGA